ATGTATTGAGTTTCCTATATATATTTGAGGGGAGGAAGGGAGGGAGAGAGAGAGACCGACAGACAGACAAACAGAGACAGAAAGAGATAGAGAATAAGCGAATGTTCAAGAATTTTCCGGTCATCTATAAAGATGCCTTCTGAAAGACACTATAGAAACAAGTTATACTCACTGAATAGCCCATCTTTATAAATTCAAAGTTATTTCCACACATCCACAGGCATATTTAGTGCACAAAGGTTCAGAAGTATTGAAAATAAATATAAAAGATATTTTCTGATTTCTCTTAGGCTACTGCTGACAAATAGCAGGAATCTGATAGAGAAGGATTTACTGACAATAGTAAAAGCAAGCCATGGATCAGGAAAAATCTTTTCATAAACGCTGAAGAAATACTTGAGGTAAAGCAGAAGGTAAAGGAATTTGCAGGAGTACTATGATCCCCATCAACATCACCCTTACTGCAATTCATTGTCACTATCGCAGTTATCTCCCACCCTTTCTCTGAGAGCTCAAAATACTTCTTTATTACTCAATATAAAATATCTCTTATATGTTTGTGAGATGGGATCGGTTGGAATAATTAACATCCACATTCTTCTTATGAGTTCCATGGCTGGAACTCTTCATTCACTCTTCATTTTCTTCATCCCAGCTCAATTCTTTAAACCTGCACTTTTAAATATCAGATTGTGGAAGGAATTCTTATGTTGGGAATATATAAGGATTGTTTAAACTGGGAAACCAAGAGTTGTTTTAAAAATATTGTGAAGCAACCACATCAACCAGGTTTGATAACCTTTTTTGGAAATTACCATTGGTAATCCTAACATTTTTGTTCTCATGACAATTTCCTAAAGTTTCGAAAGTTAGTCTTGCAATGAAGGGAGAATGATCCCTGTCATCTGATTGGAAGACGCCCTTCAAGTGTGTGATACATGAAGGGAGATTAAGGGATGTTATCATGTAATTGATTGCACTTTATCCCTAACCTTACCAAAATGTGACTTTAACCTGAGAATAACAGTCACACACTATTTAAATCAAAATGAATTAAAATTAAAAACAAATTAAAATGTAATTGGGATAACCTCTGGCTGGTATTGTAACCATTCCTTCTTTGAGCAGCATTCTCTGATCTCATTTAACGATCTTAATAATAAATTTGAACCAGCTTTCTTGACATATCCAGAAAGAGCTTCGTTATCAGGGCTTATGTTTGCACTCTTGCCAAAAGCAATTTGGTACTGAGAATCTAAGTAGAAGCCCTAATTTAAATACTATAGCTATGGTCCTCAAATAGGTCCCAATGGTAATTAGGTTGGGAAAAACCCATCCAAAATTGGGGGTGGGGGTGGGAGAGCCAAACATTAATTAATTTTAAAAGGTGATTATTTATCTGGGAGTTAATAGCAATACCCGACTGATTGCCTATGACAGGAACAGATGTAGCTGAGCATAATTTGATAAAAATTAGGATAGTGATTCCACTTTTGGCATGGCAGTTGTCTGCAATGAAAAATATCCACTAGCTGTATGTCTACGGAGATTCGTAGTCATCTAAGCCATGGCTGTCCCCAGAGTGCTTTTTCAAGAGGTAACTGGAGTTTCTTTGTTTTTCCTTGAAGACATTTTGCTTCTCATTCAAGAAGCTTCTTCAGCTCTGAAGTTACAGAACTGAAGAAGCCTCTTGAATGAGAAGCAAAATGTCTTCAAGGAAAAACAAAAGAAGTCAGATTGCCTCTTGAAAAAGCACCTTTGGGACATCCACCAACTATACTTCATATCTGGTGTAAAAATATATAACATTTATATAACATTTTGTAAAAAGGAATGAAATAAGGTGCTCATTCTTTTTGCAACCCCCTTCTGCTATATTCCAAAATATCAAAATATTTCTTTCTGGGTGTTGGAAATCATTCCCTAAGGAATGGCTTCTTATATGTTTTCAGTTTTGCCTTTGAGAATGAAGAGAATGAGGACCCAGTTTGTGGGGGCAATAAGCTGACTTTGTATAAATATACAAAAGTATGAAGGCTATTGCTTAATGCGTTGTAAGCCGCCCTGAGTCTCCAGAGAAGGGCGGCATATAAATCAAATTAAAAAAAAAAAGAGCAAATATGTTAAATTATTTTGCATTACAGGTTCCTCTTGAATTTTAATGATTGAGTGATGGGTTTTGGAATGAGTTACATATTTTACGCATGTTTGATCATGTATTTGTAGCTCTCTAGAATTCATTACACTCTTAGCCATATGATTGATTTCATTTTGACTTCCATTGTTATTTCTCCACATTAGCTGTTCAAAGTTGCTTCTCACACATGATGCCATTTGAAAGTCAGAACATTTGCAGAATTGCTGTAAAGTAGATGCAAGTTCCTTGGAGAAAGGGGCTTAGACACGTCAGAGTTAGTTGCTTGGGGTTGGTAGATTTGTTCCTTCAGGTTCTGAAGACCAGTTGTTGAAAAGCTATGTGAGTCCACATAAATATACAGTTCCAATAGATCTTTCTTTATATCATCTAGTCTTTGGAGAATTTATGCTTGATATTGACTAAATAGTTGATTTTTCATTGAGGCTTCCTCTATCAGTTCTACTAACAATGTGACTGTTGGTTTTGTTACAGATAGCTTTGCTGACCAGGGGTGGGCTTCAAAATTTTTAGCAAGGGGTTCTCTGCCCTGTTGCTGAGTGGGCTTGGCCATGGTGGGCATGGCCTACTAGCCCTCCTGCACCACGGTGATGGGGCATTTTTGCCCTCCCCGGGCTCCGGAGGCTTTCCTCAAGCCTCCAGGAAGGCGAAAATGGCATCCCTTCTGGCCTTCCTGAACTTCTGGTAGCCAGCCAGGAGTGGGATTTGGGGGTTTTCTGAACTGCACAGAATCTTAGCTAGAGGTTCTCCTGAACCCCCCAGCAGTCCACCCCTATTGCAGACTGTATTCAAGGACCTCACATCATTGTTACTTTTTGCCTCATCATTAATTTTCTTGGCCCATGTTCAGCATTATTATTCAGATAATAATGATCTTATAACAAATCACTTGAACCATGAGTCTCACCGTTTTCATCAAACTAGATATTCCCACATTTTACCTAGCATTGAAATAGTTGAGCTATTACATTTGACTGAAATTTCCAGTTCTTAGGAAGCCATTTAATTCTTCTCACATCAAACTGTGACATTAAAATACAAAGAGGTGGCTTAGATTCTTTTAATGATATTTTTATTAAACATTAGAATTAAAAAGATAAAATGTAATAATACAAAGAGTGAAAAGCAGAAAGAAAAATTAAAGAATAGAAAAATAGAAAAGAAATAAAAAATAAGAATACAGTCAAGGAAAGAGAATGATGGTATCGAGAATGAACAATATAAAAATTTATTGTTGGTTGGCACTTGGTTTTTTTTTTTTTAAATTTGATTTATATGCCGCCCTTCTCCGGAGACTCAGGGCGGCTTACAATGTGTTAAGCAATAGCCTTCATACTTTTGTATATTTATACAAAGTCAGCTTATTGCCCCCATAAACTGGGTCCTCATTTTACCTACCTTAGAAAGGATGGAAGGCTGAGTCAACTTTGAGCCTGGTGAGATTCGAACTTACAGTAATTGCAGACAGCTGGTGTTAATCACAATGCTTTCAGTCTGCTGAGCCACCCGGCCCTTTATTTAAGAATAGTTAAAAAATGGACCGTCTAGCTATTCGTTCACTTTCAACAAACTTATATTTTATTCAACACTAAGTTATCTAACTAGTTTTTCAATATTGTGGCAGAAAATACATAATAATATTTGGGACTCGGCAAAGTCAGAAAATCCACTGAGTATTCAAGTCATCTTTGCAGTTTTTCAGATCCATTTGAAAGTGTCTGATTCAACCAGCCAATGCCATTTTCTTCAAATGTTTGACTCAAAAAAGTTATTTGGTCAAATCTCATTTAAACCAAATCACCCATTTGAAGTTTCAAAACATTCCTAATATAAATCATGCCTTTGTGGATTAAACAAGGCACAAATTAATGCTGTATATGAACAGGTCAAAGAGACACCTTTTTCCATTTATTGTATCTATGTTTCCAGATCATCTTTAGATTGTAGCAGTTCTGGAAAACATGCAGAAAACTTCAGTGGAAAGAAGAAAACTACCATCCAGTGTTAGGTGTAAATCTTTATCTGACCTTTGTAGGCTGCATTCAGAGAGAAATTGACTGACTTTCTATTATAATTCCAGTATACCCATTTTATAAAAAGGAATATTTGTATTCCAAGGATATTTGAGAGAGGCAAGGTACATACAATAACCGAAGGGCAGCTATACAAACTAAATAAAACAGTGTGACATTAAATATTAACATATACAGTATGTACCACTTAATAACCACACTTCTGTAAAATATTACTGAGAAAATTAAAAGATAAGAATCATTCAACAAATATGCTAATCATTGTGATGAAGTACTAATCTTTCAATGTCTGAATCAGGCTTTTGATAACTATCTCTCTGGCAAACCAAAAGTTCCACATTCTTATTATTAAGAAAATATAATTAATAATGATGGATCAGACTTGTGAAAAGCTTTCTTTTCTGTCTAATGCTGTCATTCTTAGTTCCACTGGTCAGGTGCCTCTATAAATAATCATCTTGTATTTTATACATTCTGTGAAACTGTCTGAAGAATTTCAAGCAGGGGTTGTTGTTAACTTAAATTGTGTTTGAACACTTATATAATGTGCATGTGAGACAGAAGCTGTTCCACATGCGTCATTAGATTTATCATGGTTGAAATATTTCTGATAACAATGTGATATGATAATATAGACTATACTAAGGGCATATAAATGTTAAGCTTTGGGTGACATGGAAAGGTTCACACTCTAAAATTAACTTTTGTTTCACATTTTAACTTTCTATATTTGTGTGCTGGTTCCTAATAACAAAATCTTACCCATAAGAAAACTAATATACAGATTTTTTTTGTTTGTTCTTGATGTGCAGAAAGGAATGTTCCTGAGGTTTTGTTGTCCAAAATTATAACTCCAACTATTGATTAAGAAAAACGCAGCAGATGACAAAAAAACAACAGAAACAAAAACAGATAAACTGATCAGGTGAGTTTTTCAAAGTTGGGAGTTGTAGATTTGGTAGATTTTATGAGATTAAATATTTCTTGAGTTTTATACTGCAAAAATAAAAGAAAACTGGGGAAGGGTCAATTTGAAATTCTTAAAGGAGTGTAATCATGGCATATTTTGAGGATGCCATTTTGCCCTTTACTCCTCAAAAATGCACCGCCGCCCCCCCCAGTTCCCCCCAAAGTATAGGCCAAAATGGAAGGAACTGTCTTCTTCTTCTGTCATATCCATCATTGGACATTGGCAATCTTGTTGGCGATCCTATTTTTATCAACAGTCACATGAAAAAGTGCTGCTGAGTTTTGTCCAAACCAATCCCTTAGATTTTGAATCTATGATATTCTTTTTCTGCCTGGACCTCATTTGCCTTCAATCTTTCCCTGGAAGATTAAGTGAAAGATGCCGTATTTTTCCAGGTGTCGCATCACATGTCCAAAGGGAGCTCCAAAGAGCCATACTTTGCATCCCCAATATAGGGCAATGAGCATTTCTACAATATGCTCTACAAATTTTCCATGCCATCAAAGAGTGTTAAACCTTGGGGCAATCTAAACTATTTTAAAGAATAGCCATTAGGGCTGATCAGTAGATTTAGGCCATTATTCAATGTGACACTTCACTCCTGGGGAAAAAGGATAGGAGTCAAGCAGGAAAAATATTCTGTACCCACCAAAATGGTCTCTTTCCCAGTCTTCAGAAAACCCATGATTAGCCTAGAACCGTGATGGCGAACCTATGGCTCGTGTACCCAAAGTGTCAGAAACCAGAAGAGCTGGTGTTCCATTTTCCGTCGTGAGCATGCGTAACCAGAAGACTTGCTGGCCAGTGTGCATGTGCGCGCCGGAAACCAGAAGTACCATATCCGGCGCGCGCATGCCGCCTGGGCAGCTCCTCTTCCTGGTAACAGTCCTGATGACCCTCACACGGACGCGAACCGCACACTCATGCGCTAAGTGCTCCCTTTTCATCACTTGGTGCTGAAAGTACGAAAAGGTTCACCATCACTGGCCTAGAAGCTCTTCTTAGTCTTAGATTTAGGGGCCAGACTTAGCCCGAATGTTACAGATGTGATAGAACAGGATTTCTCAACCTTGGCAAATTTAAGATGAGTGAACTTCAACTCCCAGAATTCTGGATTCTGGCTGGAAAATTCTGGTAGTTGAAGTCCACATATTTTAAAGTCACTAAGGTTGAGAAACATTGCTCACTATCTCTTATCATGTTTTCTCTAAGGACCTATAAAACACTGCCCTACATTTCTTTTAAAAACCAAGGTCAGTATTCTAAATATATCCTAAATGGATTATGTCATCATATACGTACCGGTGATGGATCAATATGTTATTTATGATAAAACACAGAGGGAGGAATCATCTGTAAATGCAAATCAATACCCAACATAAAAACAGACTAACAGCTGCACTGATAAGATATCATGAAGGCTTGTTAGAAATAAATTGCTCTAACTGCCACTTGCTATTTTTAATCCCAGCTAACAGTGCGAAGATTGCTAGAATCAATAGGGGTACAATATGGCGCCAAGAGTATTCTATCATACAGCATTCAAGATTCAGATATATCACAAGCTGGAGTCCAGTGAAATAGAGATGTTCAGGCAACAATAAACTTTAGCCCAAAGGATCTACAGAGCTTTAGACATATTTATTTTCTGCAGTACCAACTGGTAAAATAATGCATATAATAAATAACTATGGCCTGCTTAAAGCAGCAGAGATATTGTAAATCAAAGTGTATCTTGTTGCCAGAGGACGAAGTGGAATTAGAACAATCAATAGTATCAGTAAAATTTAGATTTATTGATGTATCATAAAATTTCAGATACAGACATTTTCCCAGCTCTGGGTGATTTGAGTCCACATTAAAAATAGGTAAAGTCAGTAGCTTCAAGATACCCAACTATAAGGAAACACTTTTCCTACTGATCTGCCTAACAAAACAGTATCTGAAAGCTAGAGAGGTTGTGAGGAATATCTGATGGGAAGATTTTTGAATTTACACACAGCACTGGCCAGGCATCTTGAGGATATTTTAAAATACATTTTCAGCCGTGGGTATTTTTTAGCAAAGAGTATGGCTGTCCAAGGAAATAAGTCTAATACTATTCGTTTTCTCATTGAAGAAATAATAATATTTTTTTGAGTTTCTGCAGAGCATCATCTGAAAACAATTCCTTTACAGTTTAGAGTTTTCAAATGGACAGTCCTTGCTCCATGATTTCATTAAGACTGTGGTCCTAAACACACAGTGACTCTGGACCAGGGGTGAAATCTACTTACCTTTCTTACTGGTTCAGAAGTGCACGCACATGCACAGAAGGTAAAGAACACATTACTTCCTGGTTAAAATCAGGAAGTAACAACACCCAGGTGGGTAGGCGGAGTTTTGCTCTGCCATTGCTACTGGATTGCTGAACCACCCGGCACAATCGCTACCAGATCACCCGATCCGGGAGGATTTCACCCCTGCTCTGGACATACCAGACACTTGAGCTAGTCAGTTGCTAACCCAGTTAAATCTCCTTTTCACTAACTCCTGGCCACACACACTCACAATAATTTGGTAAAAATCACAATTTGGGAATACAAAGCTGTACCTATCTGCTTGAAAAATACCAAGGATTTAATAAAATTGTACCAGAAGTAGCCTGCAGTACTACATTCTAACCACTGCGCCACCACAGCTCTTTTTATATCCTTTATATATCATATCCTTTTTCTGCTTTTCTGTGATTGTTTGCAGTGTCTTTCTATACAGCAAGGAAGGAAGAGACTGAAAAGGAAAAGTAGTTGAAAGTAGAGATTTTTTTTTTCTCACCAGTGTTAAATGAGGCAAGCTTTCTTAGAATGGAAAGGGAAAGACCACATCCGAAGAAAATGTGTTCTGTTTCTGCTTCTGTTTCTTCTAGGGAATAATGGCAGAGTGAAGATTTGTGAAGATTTGTGGCAAAAGACAAGGAAATGACACTTAGCTGCCAGCTGCCTGCAATTATTGCGAGTTTAATTCTCACCAGGCTCAAGGTTGACTCAGCCTTCGATCCTTTCGAGGTAGGTAAAATGAGGACCCAGTTTGTGGGGGCAATAAGCTGACTTTGTATAAAATAGAACATTGCTCAGGGGGGGCCAAAAAGCCCTACTAAGCAGGTATATACAAAAGTATGAAGGCTATTGCTTAATGCATTGTAAGCCGCCCTGAGTCTCCGGAGAAGGGTGGCATATATAAATCGAACTGATAAATAAATAATAAATTTATTTTATTTTTATTTATTTTATTTAAATTTGTATACCACCCTTCTCCTAGTGGACTCAGGGCGGTGTACAGCCAAATAAAGTACATTGGCTCCTTCAACTGGAAGGAGAAGACTTTATCCACTTCTCTGGATAAAGAGAAGACACGAGATTGCCCAAGCTGTGCTCCATATAATAGCTTCTCATGTGGAGATTGTAAAGCAGCAATCTCCAGAAGGTGGAAGAATCAAGACCTGAATGAATTTGCCATATTTGCTCCAGCCATAAAGGATGTTAAGTTTACATTTCACTTGCTAACAATTTTTGGAAATTGACTATTTATTGCTTTAAAAAAGTTGGACATTTTCAGAACGATAAATTTAGGAATACACTGGGTGAATAGAACTTAGAACTTAGAATAACAGAGTTGGAAGGGACTTTGGAGGTTTTCTAGTCCAACCCCCTGCCCAGGCAGGAAACCCTACACCACTTCAGACAAATGGTTATCCAACATCTTCTTTAAAATTTCCAGTGTTGGGGCATTCGCAATTTCTGCAGGGAAGTTGTTCCACTTATTAATTGTTCTAACTGTCCTTAGTTATAAATTGCTTCTCTCCTTGATTAGTTTCCACCCATTGCTTCTTGTTCTATCCTCAGGTGCTTTGAAGAATAGTTTGACTCCCTCTTCTTTGTGGCAACTCCTGAGATATTGGAACACTGCTATCATGTCTCCCCTAGTCCTTCTCTTCATCAAACTAGACATACCCAGTTCCTGCAATTGTTCTTCATATGTTTTAGTCTCCAGTCCCCTAATCATCTTTGTTGCTCTTCTCTGCTCTCTTTCTAGAGTCTCAACATCTTTTTTACATCGTGGCGACCAAAACTGAATGCAATATTCCAAGTGTGGCCTTACCAAGGCATTATAAAGTGATATTAACACCTCACGTGATCTTGATTCTATCCCTCTGTTTATGCATCCCAGAACTGTGTTGGCTTTTTTGGCAGCTGCTGCACACTGCTGGGTCATATCTAAATGGTTGTTCACTAGGACTCCAAGATCCTTCTCACAGTTACTACTATTGAGCAAGATACCACATATACGGTACCTGTGCATTTTGTTTTTCTTCCCTAAATGTAGAACCTTGCTTTTTTCATTGTTGAATTTCATTTTGTTAGATAGTGCCCAATGTCCAAGTCTGTCAAGATCCTTTTGTATCTTGAGCCTATCTTCTGGAGTGTTGGCTATTCCTGCCAGCTTGGTGTCATCTGCAAATTTGATGAGTTCTCCATCTATCCCCTCGTCCAAGTCATTGATGAAGATGTTGAAGTGCACTGAGCCTAAAACAGAGCCCTGGGGTACTCCACTGCATACTTCTCTCCATGTAGATGCAGTTCCATTGAGTACTGAATAGCTTCAATTCTTTATGCAAGAAAATGAAGATGTATTTTTATAATTATAAGTTTTGTAATTATGAATTTTAATTAAATTTAGAATTTAATAAAAACATCAAAAAGCAAGACACGGTTTTGTCTTTAGAAAGTCTTAAATGGCGAGTCTTAAGGACTCAAAAACGTTGAAATATTGGATTTTGGAATATTAGAATATTTTGGGAATATTGGATATTGAGACTTTGTAATTTTAAATAATGCATTTGTCAACCCTGAATTTTACTGGAGTGTGGGATTGTTTGTATCCTGGGGTGTTCTAATGTTAATTCAGTCTGACACAGTTTTGAGCTGGAGGAAGATGGAGTCTTCAGTCACCACAGCATAACTAGCCAATGAGTCATGCACAATCCAATGGCTCACTGACCGGAGGAAGAGAGAAGTGCTAAGCAACCAGCTGTCGTCTTGGTTGGACAATGTGACCGATTGTTTTGGAAACTTTAGAAACTGAAACTTATATTGGGGTGAAGAGCCCGGGAACTTTAGTACTGGCTTTTCACCAATAGTGCCAAGATGATGTATCTAAATAAATTTGTTCTTTGAGGAAAAGCAATGCCTCAAAGTTCGATTTATAATGGGTGCAGTACTTGGAGCCTGACATATTTGTGGGAAAGAATAATTGTTTTTGATATTGAAGACATTATAAGACAATCAACAATCAAGTTTCCCAGCCAGTCTCGCAATCGCTAGCCCCCCTCCCCCATCCAGCAGCAGTCACTTACTTACCTGCTGAGAAGGAAAGGGAAGGGAGATTTCTGATGGTCCCTCCCAAATTCCCACAAAGAAATTCAATACGGAAGTCAGCTGGAAGTTGGAAACCACTTCTGCTCCCACTGCATTTTTGTCCTGCTTGGTCATTCTTTTTCTGTGTTTAAGTAAGGAAATATCTCTAATCTATTAGCATTTAAATTGGCTTTAACTGTTTTTCTACTTTAACTGATATTTGTGAGTTTCTTTTCTTTAAAGGAGAAACTCTCCTTTTTTTGTCATTTTAAATTTTAATCTTTTGTTCGCATTAGGATATTGAGACAGCTTTATGACTTTTAAATGTGGATTTGCCTACAGCTAAGATTTGAGATGTGGAATGATGAATTTTATATACCCTATATTAATTAACATTATTTTAAGACTCTGGTCTTTTTGCTGATACATGTATTGGAGAAGACATTGCTTATTGGATTTATCTATAGTAAAAAAAAATGAGTTATGGGATGAAAACTTTTGTATTTGTTAATTAAGAGGTGGTGAAAAGATAGTGAAGTAATTTATACTTGTGATGGGATGGGAAGTTACTTTTTGGGTTTTTAAAGTTTTTTTTTTCTTTGCTTTTTCACCCTTTTTCTTTCTTTTTTAACTTGTACTGTCTTACTACTGTAATCAAAATTTTTAATAAAATTATTATTAAATAAAATGTGCACCTTTCTATATGGAAGATAAAATGAACAGATGTTTTCAGGGACCAGTTATGTTTAGAGGCAGAACATTGAAAAACCAAATGTGCAGGTATAGTAGGTGGTACGTCGCTCAGCAGTAATAACTGTGAGAGGGACCTTGGAGTCCTAGTGGACAATCACTTAAATATGAGCCAGCAGTGTGCTGCAGCTGCCAAAAAAGCCAACACAGTTCTAGGCTGCATAAACAGAGGGATAGAATCAAGATCACATGAAGTGTTAATACCACTTTATAATGCCTTGGTAAGGCCACACTTGGAATACAGCATCCAGTTTTGGTTACCACGATGTAAAAAAGATGTTGAGACTCTGGAAAGAGTGCAGACCAGAAGACCTCCAAGGTTCCTTGCAACTCTGTTGTTCTATTCTAACCCCAGGAAACCATTTGTAGATCCATTGTAACTTTTTAAGTCATAGCCAAAATTGCCTTCATGTTTCTTTAAAAACATCCCTTACCCACTGGTATTCTTTGTATCATATGAGAACAAACACCATTCTTTGAGTTCAAAATGAAAAGGTCCTATTGTAGTAAATATTTATCTGGCTGCACTTAGCCTTGTTACAGAGCTGGTAATTTAGTGCTATCTATTAACCAGTGTAATGACCTTTAATATTGATCCTATTTGCCATCATCATCTCAGCATGGTTTAGAATAACAATCCATTAGATTTGTTGTTTGGAAGCTGGTTTATAAGAAAAAAATACAAGAGACAAACACACACATACACGCACAAAAACATACACAGAGGGGGTGGGAAGAGATTCTCATTTTCTAGTTACTGAGTGAGGAAAATCTCATGTTCTTCTCTTCGGTAAGTCAGATATTATCAGTCAAATCTGCTACGTTCTCAGATTCATTATACACTTTATAAGACATGATTATGCATTACAAACTTGAATCAATGAGCAGATTCCTGTTTTATAGTAATGAGCCCCATTTTTTTTAAAAAAAGGAACAATAATGGAATAGATCAAAGGCCTACTTATTCAGCATTCTGTTCTCCCAGGGCAAATCAGATTATTATGGGAAGACTCTGAGCAGAACATCAACCAAATATTGTGCAAAGAGATTCTGCTCCATCACAAATCACTCGGCCTCAGTTTAATTCAGTGAAAAGGGCTCCTGGGCATGTGCTGGACAAAGTGGGGCACAATAAACAGAGTTTAATGTGGTCTGTTTTAAATTTGTAAGGAATACATATTCATGTTAATCTAAAGATTCTGACTGTAACGCTTATGAAAATATTAGAAAGAATTTTAGAAGAGAAAATGAAAAGCCTAATGTTTGCAAGAGGTAATGGACTTTCCTTTCCATAAACAGAGCAGAGGGTTGGTGTTTTATTTGTCTCCACACTACTAATCCTGGTTTTACAAAGTGGCAGAAATTACAATCCTTCCACAAGTGGATAGCATCATTTCTCAACTGAAATTTCTGTTGAAAGAATGCAGTTTTGTGAAAATTGTCATTTCAATTAGCATCACCAAGCCATTGTTCAGGTGATATAAAACATGTGCTTATTACTGCTATTTTGTCATAATGATTACTCTAGTAGAGCTTACTAGTTGGAGAATAATCATAAATATAGTACTAGTCTTCCCAAGGGCATTATTGAAAGGAAATTGCTCCACAGCTAGGCAGAGGATAATCCACATTTTCCTCAGTAATATTACAGAAGTAAAACTATGTCATTTTTTGCCAATTATCAAACTGCAGAGGAAATAGTGTCCAAGTAACTTGTCAAAATGCTATATTTGGTAAGATAACCAAGCTTCTGTAAAGGGAAGGAAAATAGATACAATTCACCTCTAATAGGAAATTTCTATGGAGATTCTCAGTCATCCAGGTCATGGTTGTCCCAAAGGTGCTTTTTCAAACGGCAACTGGACTTTGTTTTTCCTTGAAGACCTTTTGCTTCTCATCCAAGAAGCTTCTTCAGTTGAGAAGCAAAAGGTCTTCAAGAAAAAACAAAGTCCAGTGGCCTTTTGATAAAGCATCTTCGGGACATCCTCAAAAGAAAAGCAACTTCCTCAAAATATAATTTTCATCTGGTCTTCTGACTCTGCCATGCCAAAATAACTTATTTTCACACACTGAAAGAGTTCACATATTTTTTTCAGGACATGATTTACTTAACCATGATTGTTATTTGTAGTGGTATATTTGAACTTCTCTTGATTTAAACAGAGCTCAACACCTGATGGATATGTCCATGTTATGTTATAGATAGCAGCATAAAGGTATTTTGCCATTAGCTTCTTTTAGAATGTTTCTTTCCCAATCTTACCCATAGTTCTTAAATGTTCTATTGGTCTTCTAACTAGATCTAGATATTAACCAGGTCCAACACAACAGTCCAACACAATTTTACTGAAATTGTGCTTGGTAAATGAATGGGTGCATATAGATCTTGTTTACTTAACGCTAGGAAAGAAAAGGAGAAGCATTCTATTGGATGTTATGGAGATAGAAACATCAAAAATAACATCAACACCATACCATTCATCAGCACATCAGATGGAGTGCTAATGCCATCATTTCACCACAGCTTCATGGATGGTATTGTGGCTAAATATTTGTGCCATAAATACTGTCAGATGTAAATGCCTTATTCTCTAATGTGTAAATAGTATATGAACGGGGTATCAGGGGTTAACTTATTCTCCACTTCTTAATGTATTCATAATTCACCACTCCCACATATAGCTCCACCCATTGTATATATAAGGAGCTACATGCACCCTTTTCCTTGCTTCTATCTGTGAATATTCAGTGAATATAGAATGCCTATTGTAAATAAAAGGAAATATATTTAAACCTTTAACTCTTACTAATCTTATTGAGTCTGATCCTGAAAATATTGCAACAAATACAATAAATAAAAAGGCACGTGGAGTAATCTTATTTAGGTGTCAGTGCCTGAACTATTTGACTAGTCAAGGGGTAGAGCTACAAATTAAATCCTTCCTTCAAAAAATCTAAAGGACCGTAAACTTGTTCAGCTAAATATATCGTAAATCCTTTAAGTATTTAGAAATTCTTAATGAATGACTGAAAGCTGAACTATAAAGAGCTTGAGAATCTGCATCCCTATATTTCCTCAAGCTCTTCTCATTGATATCTTCAACTGGTAGGTATTTTTCAGAATACCTACCAGTTTGCAAAATTCCAGATCTACTGAGGAGTTTTACTCAAGTTTGAGGATCTCCTTGTCTACAATGAGAAAGGGAAAGGAACTGGAGGAGAGTAAGATGTGAGGAAGTAGAACAATCTATAACCATTAGCTGCAGACATCAGCATCTTTGCAACCATCAGAGTCCCACAGGTTGGATTGAACTGAATTTTTAAAATCTTTTTTGGGGAATGGGTTTTAAAGGTTAAACTGCAAGGTTTAAGAACCTTGCAAGAACCTCTGCAAGATTTAAAGCACCAACAGCATCTCTTAAATATCTGAAACATCCATTAACTGCTCCAAATTTGAAATCCTTTTGTCCCTTGACAATCTTATCTGAATGAAAGAGATATGCAGGGGTGGACT